TAGGATTGCCCAACCTTCCTTCCGAGGAGTGGCTAGTGGGTTTGAACCGCCAGCCTTCTGGTGAGCAGTCAAGTGCCTTAGGCACTATGCTACCAGAGCGAAAAATCTTGGAATAGACACCCACACACCCTTTTCACCATCTCTCCCCGCCTGTTGTATTTAAATTTAGACCTGGAGAAAGAAATTTTGGTTTATTTTATTATCTATTTTTTCATTTCCTTATCCCAGGAAGGCTGTAAGGCAGTTTGCTGGAATGCCTTCAGTACAAGAAAATAAAACAAAATGAAATAGGAGGCTACAATTGAGGGAGAGAGAAAAGGAGAGAGGGACAGATAAAGCCTGGAGTGATGTTAGAACCGCCAATGCCTGTCCCTAAAGGAAATTTCCTTACTTTTCAGTAGAACTTAAATGAGCAAATTCTTGACAATATTCAGTGAAGGTGAGAGAACACGACTGGAGTATATATGACTGTAAAAAGTCCCACAGTTCCTACTTACACACACACACAGACACACACACAGACACACACACACACACACACACACACACACACACGAGTCCCGGTCCCATTAAAGCTCTACTGGTAAGCAAAAAGCTGGAATATCCATTTTAATAGCTTCTCCCCATCCCCCACTACAGTAGATGCTCCTGCTATTGGGAAAGGAAAAAAAAGCCATCAGATTTCTGTCAAGTGGATTTAGGTTTAAGCCAAAGCAACGCGAATTGTATTGTAATGTGTTTTTTTTTTTTTTTTTTAACCCCTCCGTAATAACGTTATACGAAATGCTGAAATTGAGATTGCAGGATGGAATCAGCATCTATTTTGTAATGCTTGCTCATCGTCAAAGAGCAATACTCAGGCCGGCCAGCTGAGATGCATGACAGTCGGGATGATTTAATTTATAAGAGTGCTCTGTGCATAGAATGAAATCACCAAAGTGTGCAGGAAATCATGTTTCTGACACCCTTTTAAACCAACTAATAACACTCAAACGTGGATAAAAGTCTTGAAAGACATACAATGTTTTGTGGGTTTTCTCCCCAGCTTTCTATAACTGAAAGTGAGGCTACTGTAGAGATGTTATTCATGAAACTTAAAGCAATTGAAGATAGGAGAGTACAAGTTTATAAATTAACTACAAAACAGAAGTTTGGGGAATGTTGATGGTTTTGTGGTTTGCAGTATATTTTTATTTCAATTTATCCTCTTTCAGGAATATTAGTTCAATAGGTTTTGGTTCTGGTAGCACAGTGCCTAAGGCACTTGACTGCTAACCAGAAGGCTGGCAGTTCAAACCCACCAGCCACTCCTCGGAAGGAAGATGGGGCAATCTACTTACGTAGTGATACTGCCTCGGAAACCCAAGG